ACGACTTACTGGTCGCTTGTGCCTGTTAAGCTTCAGCAGTGCTGGTCGGCTGCTCTAAACGGGAGTGTGCCGCAGATCACAGCGCCTGCTAGCTTCTGGCATCATCTTCTGTCACTGCCTTTTCGCCAGTGGCGGGTGTATGCATGTAATTAGGCTGCGTACTTCCTCTGACAGCCCGCAAAGGCAAATGTATGTATGTATGTATGTATGTATGTATGTATATATATATATATATATGTACACACGGTTGAACGTCTGCTTCGATCTTACCAACCCTACAGTTACAAGCCATACACCCCTAGAGCCCCTAAGCCCTAAACCACCCTAGGCCCTAAACCCCTAAACCCTAAACCCTCAAGCCCCAAATCCTGAAGCCCTAAACCCCTAGGCCCTAAACCCTAAACCCCTAAACCCTAAACCCTAAAACCCAGAACCCTCAACCCAAACCCCTAAACCCTGAAACCCTAAACTCTAAACCCTAAACCCAAAGCCCTAAACCCTAAGCCCTAAACCCTAAGCCCTAGACTACCCTAGGCCCTAAATAAGACAAACCCTGGACCTCCCATCTCTGGGCGGCCGACGCCACGTTTCGCAGGCGGATGGCTCCTTCCTGCTTCGAGGCTTGGAATATAAGGACCCTCAAGGGGGGTAAGGGAGAGGGGGTTTCGGGTTCTTAGAATCGCAGATTTTCGCGTTTCGGGATGCTAAAACACGGGTTTTTTTAAAGGTTTGGGACTCCTAGAATAGGGGTTTTAAGGCTTCCTGCAATGGGATCGGTTCATTCTGCATTGCGGGCATTTCGGGGGAGGAGCTCTTCACTGTTTTCAGTCGCAGGCCGAGGTCTGCTGGCAGGGGCATCGCTTCGAGCTGATGGTAAGTCCAAATCTTCGAGGGCTTCAGGGTCGAATATAGGGGCCTCAATAAGTAGAATAAGGTTTTGGGGTATATTTTACTATAGCAATAAGGAACGCCCCAAAATAGTGTAGGCAATTATTTTTATTATTAAGACCCTATATTAGGCATAAATCGGGTTGTTAGGCGTGGAGCTTTTGGGCTTAAGGCTTTATAGCTTGGGGCTTTGGAGGTTGGGCTCTAGGGTTCTAGCCTCTAACTTGACGCTCTTTCGACTTAGTCCGTGTACTGATGTTCCGCTTCGTTGACTGCAAAGAGCTGCCGAGCACGCCCCTAGAGTCCCAGAGTTTAACAAGAAGACTATGAAATAGGGGACCCCAATATGGCACCCTAAATAGTAGGATCCTTATTATAAGGGCCCTAAACCCTAAACCCTAAATGCCCCTCTTGTACCTTCGATCCCAAAGGGGCCCCTCCTTCAGCCCTAAACCCGAAATGGGTAGTCCCCTAAACGAAGGTCCCCCAAATCGTACGGCACCCGTATTCATAGGACCCTAAAAGGGGCCCTGATTTAATGAATTACCTAAACGCTCAGACTGAATGCTTGAAGCTCGAGGGCATTTCGTCCTGAATTCCCAAAAGTAGGTGTCGATCTGACGCGCCCTCACAATGACGTATAGCTAGGGTGCTTGATTCAACCATTATAGTACAGGGAATCTTCACACCCCTAAACCTTAGACTCCAAATCCTAAAGCCAACGTCGGAACCCACCAGTTCAAACTCCTACGGCTGATCATATAAATCCTGCATTGCAAATAGGGAGTATCCCATAATTCCCATAGTTGAGGGTCCGTAAGGTAATGCAGGACTTATAACATCAAACTCCTAGTATCTTGAACTCGGAGCCCGGCACGTGCCTGCGTCCCGGGCGTCGTTGTCCAAAGCTGCCCCGGCACTTCGGGCGTGCACCTGACAGCAGGGTTTCGGTAATATAGGGGCCTTAATAATTAGAATAGGGCTCCTTTTGAAGGGGTCTACAAGGGCTACTATAAGGGAGCTATAAGGGTACTAGAATATAGGGGCCTTATTAATTACAATAGGGTTTCGGGGCCCATTATTCTAGAATTATAATAAGGAACCCCCCCCAACATAGTATAGGTAATTATTACGGCCCCTTTGTTAGGCCTTGACGAATAGACCGCCCCTTCAGGGCTGTTACAAGGTACTAGAAGGTGTTGTCCCATGATCATCCCTTTCTTCCCTACCAGTTAACAGACAGATGGCATTGGGTGCAGGGTTTGCAGACAACTGTTACAATATATCACTGTTTCTGTTAACAGATGTACCGAGCTCCGTCGTAACAGAAAAGGACTCATAATCATGCAAGTGATGATGGCAACAACAGAATTGAAATCGATGTTGTAACTGTATCGCTTGCACAATCCACAGTTGCTAACAGTCTTAAAATGAATTAAAAACATAGAGCCCACATAGTAAAGTTTAATGAAACGACAGACAGAGAGGGGGGGGGGCAAGGGCAATCGGTCGGCTGAGTGTTTTCCGGATAAATGACACAGGTTAACCCAAAATGACCAAAAGACTGACTAAACCCTAAGCCCTAAACCCTACCCTTTAAAGGTAACCCACATTGGTAGCCCAAGGATCTCGGCCTAAACCCAGCCAAAACCAAATCCGAAAACGTTAAGCCAAAGGCTCCATTGCAGTTCCCGGGCAGGCAAGTGCCAGGACAGTGCGAAAGCCCTAGATCCTAAACCCCTAAACCCTAAACTCCAAGCCCGTAAGCGTTCTCAGCTAGAGGCTCACCGGGCACGCGGCAGCTGGGAACGGCGCTAAACTCAACACCGCAAACCAGAGACCAAACCCCCAAGGCCAAAACTCTAAACCCTCCTTCTGCAAGGATACAGCGACTGGCGTGAATGTTCCTGTATCCGCTATCCTAAAGTAGGCTCCCTAAGAAAAGCACAATCAAAGAGCCTTGCGCAACTGTAGCAGCAGCTAACAACCCCCACGGGCAGTCGTATCCACCCCAACACACAAAAAGACCTTCACCCAATGCATACAGGACCTTCTCTTTTCCAGCACACTCCAGCATCTGCGTGGTCAGATGTGAGGCTGCTAGAAGAAGTCCACCGATTCACCATCGTTCGTCGAGTCAAAAGCATCGAAAAACTTCAGGAGGAAGCTTCGACCTTCTTTATAAACATTGCCTCGTCCGGCAATTGCTCGAACGTCCACACGTATGCGTAAGTGCTCCTCAGGAGAATGCTCCTGAAGGGACCGGAAGCAATACAAACGACGATTGTTGACTGTGTGGTACCTGTTATGATAACGCAAAACCTGAAGTCTCGGGTAGCGGTGCCGGCTTCCAGGATTCTGCTGTAGCTTCCTCACCGAGTCGTCCAGCGCAGAGTGGTTCCTGAATGTGCGTCTGATCCTGGCATGCGTGAAGAAGATCTCATCCGGATTCAGCCACCATTGCCCCGTCCACAAATGATATTGAAGCTGCTTTTGGGCCACGCGTAAACTAGCGGCCTGCAAGATGTCTTCGAACTGTCTGGAGCAGTGGCGACATTGCTGGATGCTCTCGCAGCAACTTCTCCACGAATGGAAGGCTTCAGCCTCTGACTCTGCATCGTCGAATCGCTGCATGGACTCACTGATGCGCATGTGTAGCACACATTCCTTCAAACGGTCCGTTCGTAGATGGCTGTACAGCCAGGCAGTCTGAGGCTGAAGCACTCTTTCACAGAGAAACTTCCGCCAGAGCAATTCATCTTTCTCTTTGACGAGTTCCCACCGCAGGTTTGCACCATCGAAGCGAACCAAGTGCTGAGCAATTTGCTGCCAGGTGTGGCTGCCATCTTTGTGATCTCCACCGCAGTGGCCAAGAGCAGCACGCTGCCTTAGAAATTCCACGACCAAGTCCTTGAAAGCCGTCTTCTGGCCATGATCAGTCATGGCCTTGAGCCGGCGCCCATCCAAGCAACGACTTCCGAAGGCTTCACATATATCTCGTTCCCTTGGGCTCAGGGGCACCATCTGCCCGGAATGTTGTGGCGGCTCATTAATTGAGATGAAGCCACCTTCGGTATTCTCGAAAATAAGAGTGTAGTGGTGAGTTCTTGCAAGGCTGATGAGCACACGGAAATTACCACAGCCATAGAGCACGAAATGAAAGGCTGGCCTTTGCGTCCATGGACACTGCGCTGTGGGATGAAGTTCGCCATAGATGCTGCTGAGACGTGTAAGGTCACATGCATCCTTGAGCTTGTCGAAATTCTGTAAACCACGATGCCAATCAACATGCTGAGACAGGTCAACAATGGTTCTTTGGCTTTGAAGTTCTTCCCAGGTTTGCAGCTTGAGTTTGTGCAGCTCAGACTTGAAAGATGCATCCGACATAGTCTTTGGCCTCTTGGGCTTGGGCGCATCCTCGTCGTGTTCGCAGGGCCACGCGGCAAAAAGCTCGTCATCAAAAGTACCATCGCCGCGATCACCTGGACTTGAGAAGACAGTAACAGGCCGCCCACACATGCGCTCTCGTGCGTTCACTGCGTTGTGCCACGACGTCCAGTCAAGGCCCTGTGTCATCGATGGCTCTTTCCTTACACCATCAACTCGCACGGTTCCTTGACGATGATCCCACTGCACGGGGGTGCCATCCAAGGCCTGAAAGGTTTGAAGTGCATCCTGGCCCTCCAGCCATGCCACCTTCTTGCGATGGGCCTGCCTCTCAGATGCTCTGCGAGATTGTCTAAAGCATCGGGGTCATACCTAATACTCGGATTTTGGGCATCTCGAAGCAGCCTCTGGCAAGGCACGCACTTCAGGCAACCGTAGCGTTGTCCCTCTGGCGCATGGCTTCGCAGCTCCTTGTACAACACATCGGTACCGATTGCCATCGGTCTTGGGCTCGAAGCCAAAAACCTCCAGAGATGTGGTGCATATTCCTGATATCATGTACTACCCCCTGCTAAGTAAAAGCCCTAGGGTCTTGGAATACATTGTTGCACACGATTGTAGCTTAGGATTCCAGGATAAACTTACGGACCTGCGGTTTCTTGTAGAAATCTGTCTTCGACCACTCTACGGACTATACACGTATACAGGCTAAGAACCATATTTGTACTCCATATATATAATATGTCATATATATATATATATACACATGCATGAACTATACGGGTTCTCCCTCTTAGCTGCTACTTATTACTACTCACCACTTTTTCGGCTACTCCTCCTTCTCCCGCTCCCGCTGCTCCTACTCCTGCTTTTTCTTGCAGCTGCCACTCTCCTGCAGTAATTTTAGGGTTTAGGGTTTTAAGGTTTAATTTTTCAGGGATTTAGGGCTTTTGGGGTTCAGGGTACACTTGCTACTAGAGCTGATGAGAATTGCAATTTCTGCAGCCTGGCTTTTACGTGCTGCAGCAACCACCACATGACATGGCCAGAGTGAGCCGTAAACCCGAAGCCCTAAGCATCACGTCCCGCCTGACGGCGGGACGCCGGTCAATGGAGAACCACTGTGGCTCAACCACGCGCAGGTTCGACAAGTGGTCCTCCAAAGCTTCAGGCTTTCGTCTACAGCCTAGCCCTAAACCCTAAACCCTAAACCATGTGTCTTGATGTAAGTTCCGTCGCCTTCGAAGACCGTGTTGCAATAAACTCCGACAGGAAAAAAAGGGGTACTACGGTTGATGATGTAAATCCTGCATTACCAGGGGTGCCTTTGAAAGGTGGGTGTATAAGCAACTAAACATACGGTTGATGATGTAAACCCTGCAGTACCCATAATCAGGAATATACCATAGTTCCCAGAGTGCTTGGTCCTTAAGGTCATGTTGGATTTATATCATCAACAGTGGGGGTGCGTTTGAAAGGTGTTTTTTGGGGTGAATACTATATTGCAACGACACTAAGGAACTCAAAGACATGATATGTGAAATTGTCCAGGCTGCTATAATGTAGGGGCCTTAGTAAGTAGAATAGGGTTCCTTTTCAGGGGGTCTATAAGGGCTACTATAAGGCAGCTATAATGTAGAGGCCATAGAAATTAAAACAGGGTTTGGGGTACATTCTACTATAATTACAGTCAGGAGCCCCCAAAATAGTATAGATAGTCATTAAGGCCCCTGTATTCTTGACTCGATTTATCGAATCATATTGGGATGTGGTAGGCTTTAGTATATCGGCATATGCTTTTCTAGCAGGCCTGTTCAATATCTGCCCACGAGGCCTGATAGACCACATGCAACCCAAAACCAACGATACAGAAGGACAGGCAGTAGAATGAACCAACAGGGGCGTAAATCTACCTCGCTGTGGGGTTAGTAGTGTCTTGTTTCTGATTCTGGATCTCGTTCTGATTGTTTCTGTTGTTGTTGTTGTTGCTGTTGTTCCAATGCGCTTGTCGCTCCTCTATGCTTCTGTTTCACGCGCTCATCAGTCTCCGAACATCCAGGGAATCCCTCTCTTGATCACCTAGCGAACTCCTGTATAAACTATCATTCAAAAACCCCAGATCCTGAACCCCACCCTAACTCTAAGAGCCGAAATCCTAAATCACAAACCCGAACGTTCTTGCTTCAGAATCTCAGCCCATTTCTTATTTTTATGGCTCCTTTACAGCACGTCTCAGAAACCCTTTTCGACCCCTAGACAACTCTCTCATTTTCCATACGAGCCATACCAGTTTCCATAGTTTAGGGTACTTAAGCAGCATGACCCCTTCTTCTTTACTATTCTATCTAATATAGGGGCCTTAGAAACTAGAATAGGGCTTTGGGGCCCATTATACTATAACTATAGTAAGGAGCCCCCCAAAATTATATGTGTAAGTATTTAGGCCCCTACATTATCCATATGGCTTCACTATCTGGCGCGGCCGGAAGCTGAGTTCCCGGCGGCGTTCTGCAACATGAAGGCTCCGCTGCTTGAGCCTGAGCTAAACCCTAAACCCTAAACCCTAAACCCTAAACCCTACAGAAAACTGGGGACCCTAGTCAGCAACAATGGAACCCTCTAAAACATTTAAACCCCTAAACTCCCCAACCCCCAAGGCGAACCCCCTAAACCCGAAAACCCTAAACCCCCCAAGCCCCAGGTTGCAATATACAAGGTAAAGCCTCTGAATAGACTTTGAAGTAGCCAGGGAGAAAAAAGTATTAGACTTTTGTTTTATAACGGTTCCTTTAAGGAACAAGTCGCAAAAACAGTATTCAAGTATGCTACTCCAGAACCCAGGGGAATATAGGAGCCTCATGATAAGGACCCCCCCCCCCCCAACCCTAAGCCCAAGGCCTAAACCCCGAACCCCCTAAACCCTTAAACCCCTAAACTCCCAAACCCTAACCCCCCCAACCCTCAAGGCCTTAAACCCTAAACCCGAACCCCCTAAACCCGTAAACCCTAAACTTACTTCACCAATAAGCCAGGGAAGTAAAAAGGTTAAACTTTCAGATTACTACTAAATGATAAGAACCCAAAAAGTTTTTAAAGGATGGGTATTGGAGAACCGAGTAAACTTTAAACCCTAACTAAACCCAAAACCCAAAACCCTAAACCCGAACCCCCGAAACCCTAAACCTTTAACCCTAACCCAAATCCCCCAAGCCCCAGGTTCTCGAAACATTGAAAATCCTCGAAGGCTTCGGCTTGATGGTCTCAGCCTGCGACTGGGGGTCTATGAGGTCTCACCTAAACCCGGTTTAGGGTTTAGGGTTTAGGGTTTAGGGTTTAGGGTTTAGGGTTTAGGGTTTAGGGTCTACTAGACTTTGACTTAGGGGCTGAGTACCTAGCCCAAAAAAAGGTTAACCTTTTGAGTTATAATAGGGTTATATGGGTGGTTGTCAAAATTCTGGTCCCTTTTGGGGTACCCTAAATAATAGGTGCCGTATTATAATAAGGACCCAAAAAGGGACCATAATTTTGACAACCACCCATATAAGGCCCAAAAGGTTAAAGGTTACCTACTCAGCCCCTAAGTTGAAGTAACCAGGGAGAAAAAAGTATAGACTTTATTTCATAATGGTTCCCTTAAGGAACAGGTCCCAAAAACAAAGTGTTCAAGTATGGTACTCCAGAACCCAGTCTATGAGGTCTCACCTAAACCCTAAACCCTAACCCCTAGACTCGTTGTTTGGGGGCCTGAAAAGGTGGGATGAAGGTAGGTAGGAAGGTAGGATTAGGAATCCCCTTATATGAGGGCTCTTCTGTTGGATTACCCGACCTACTCTCCCCTCCCACCTTTGGAGTCCTTTGAATTCTGCCGGGGATGCTGCTGCCGCCTTGCTAATCTATATTTGGGACCCTTTAAGGGCGTAGGGTTTAGGAATTTAGGGCCTTTCTAACCTTGAGTTGGGGCTCTTGAAGGGCCTAGGGATTCGTTTAGGATTTAGGGTTTAGGGTTTAGGGTTTAGGGTTTAGGGTGAGTTTAGGAGTCTAGGGCTTAGGTTTAGGGTTTAGGGATCGATTTGGGACCCTTTTCGAACTACAGCTGCTGTCGGGTCAAGGGCTTCAGGGCTTAGGGTGTCAGGGTCTTCATAAGCGTAGCAGGTCTATTGTTTAGGGTTTAGGGTGTAGGGTTCAGGGTTTAGGGTTTAGGGTTTAGGGCATAGAACTCCAACAGATCTTCTTCCGCCCCCGATCCAGTCAGCCTTCCAATCCAAGACCCTGAAAGCCAAATTCCAATTTCTGACATCCCAAATACGGGTAGGAAGCTGAGGGCATCCAAAACTTTTGATAAATAGTTTATCGGGAGCACATAAAAGGAGAATTTGCCGAATTGCCACCTAGAAAATCGCCCAACATGCCACGCCCACCACTCCGATAACTCACTTCTGCGATGCATTGGCATTGGAGAACTTCCCTAAACCCTCAACACCAAACCCTAAACCCTAGATCTACTTAGAGGTTCGTGGGACTCTGGAAGCAAGGTTATAAGCCGTAGTGTGCGTTTAAGCAACTAAACATACGGTTGATGATAGAAATCCTGCATTACCCAAAGTAAGGAGTATACCTAATTCCCATAGTTTAGGGTCCTTAAGGCAATGCAGTATATATATCATCAACAGTATATTGTAGCAGAAGTTACCCGCAAAAAATATCCTAGTTACCATGAGCGTTTGAGTAAAAAGGCATGTTGGAAGAGTTTGTGTCAGATCTGGTCCTAAACCCTAAACCCTGAACCCTAAACCCTGAACCCTAAACGCTGAACCCTCAACCTTATAATGAATTCTACTATAATATAGCATGGAGCACCAAACAGTCTGGTAATTGTTTAGGGCCCTAGATTCACTAGACTTTGAAGTAACCAGGGAGAAAAAAGTATAGACTTTTATTTCATAATAAATAATGGTTCCCTTAAGGAACAGGGCCCCAAAAAAGTATTCAAGTATGGTACTCCAGAACCCAGTTCAACCACCAGAAGAAATGCCACGGAGCCATCGGGCACGGCCCACCACAGCTGACCAGGCCTGGAAGCTGCAAGCCGGGTTGGTTTAGGGTATGTAGGGTTTAGGGCTGGGGGTATAGGGTTTAGGGTTTAGGGAAATGTAGGGGCCTAAATAAATACGAATACTGTTGGGGGGTTCTTTATTATAAATATAGTATATTATGCCCTAGAACCTACTGTTTGGGGGAATTCCTTATTATAAATATAGTATATTATGCCCTAGAACCTGATTCTAATTATTCAGGCCCCTAGAGCAGGATCTCGTTTAGGGGCTTTGGGGTTGAGGGTTCGGATTGAAAGGCCTAAGGGCTTGTTAAGGGGTTTGCTTAGAAGCTTCAGGGTGTAGGGTTCAGAAGAGGCGTAGGGGTTTGTTTAGTGTTGCGTTTAGGGGCTTTAGGATGTAAGGTTCCGATATTGAAGTGATAGAAGGGTGTAGGGGTTTAGGGGTATTCGGTTTAGAAGCTGCAGTGCTTTTTTGTGGCTACCAGTGAAGATGCAAACACCCTCTCTTCAAGGGCCTCAGGAGTAGGCTCCCGATCGTAATAATTAAGGGAAGAGGTGTGCCCGTAGACCCCCAAATCGCCGAATTAAGAGTTCTGCCATGTTTGGGGTGTAGGGTTTAGGGTTAAGGGTTTAGGAACATCAATCCTGCTTCACATAAGCCTTACTGTAGCCGAATGTGGACATGAATCATAGGGACTGTTCTCGGGCACTACGTAATGACTACCAAAGTGAACATTCTTAAATTCCGTCTTTGGCACAGCCCAGCCAACGCAGAGCCCTAAATAAATAGAACATGCTCTTGGTGTATACTGTAGGTAAACGGAGACTACACGAGGATGCTATCACTAATGGCTGACGGCTACATCCAAGCTCTCTTCGTCTCTTAAGCAGAGAGCACTGATTTCTCTCGCGACTTTTTGCCACACCGCGAACGGCTCCGAGCCCTCTAAGAGGCAAGCTTCGGACTTTGCAACCACGAAAACAGCGAAACCTCATGCCACCAAGGCCTCTGAGAGACCTGTTCGAAGGACCATAGGACTTTGTAAACAGGTCATAGGTAGGTTAAGATAAACATTAGTAATTTATAGCAAAAATAATAATCATACTCTGAATCACAGTAATGGCGAGAATCGTAATATTGGCTTTAACTCTAATAAAGATAAGAAGAATAGCTTCGTAATTTGTATGTGCGCCTATGTCCCTCTCGCTGTGACGCCGTCGCCGTCAAAGCCGCGAGAACACTACACCCCTCTGAAGAACAGCAGCTTCCGAACTTCTGGGAAGTTCTTGTTGGATGCGATCCTTGGCTGTCCAGCGGGCTGAAGGTCTAGGATGTGGGTCTAGACTTTGAAGTAACCAGGGAGAAAAAAGTATAGACGTCTATTTCATAATGGTTCCCTTAAGGAATAGGCCCCCCAAAAAAGTATTCAAGTATGGTACTCCAGAACCCAGGGCTAGTTCTCTAAGTTAGGCTCCCGTTTCAGGTCCCAGAAATTTGTACTGACCTCTTATAAAAAGGACTGAAAAAGGGACCCTAATTTAGAGAACTACCCTTATAGTACCCTTATAGTACCCCGATAGAAACCCTTATAGATCCCTTTAAGGGCCCTAAAAGTAGGGGTGGGGTTTAGGAGCAAGTTCTTGCCATGAACTACTTGCAGCCTTAACCCTTACAGTCCTAGACTTTGAAGTAACCAGGGAGAAAAACGTATAGACTT